TGACTTGGATGGAGAGTTGTCTCATTGGCACTCATACCACATCTTCTTATATCTAGTAACTCTTTACAGTTCGTTTCACTAGTTCTTATCAGGTACATTTTCCAGGTGGGTTTTGAAGTAGGTCATAGCATGATGGTAGGTCGTACAGTTCCTATAGAGATTTCACCGTAATAAACCAAATGTGTGATGAATTTCATTTAGTAGCAAATTGACGCCATGCAAGCTGATTTTCAACAGAGTCAGTTACTATCATGTAACCAAAGGTGGCAAATATCCCTCATTAAATCTGCGCTGGAATTGGCTGTTCTCTTAGCAGCAAATAGCAGGTTGAATCAGCTGTCTTGTCTGGTAAATGCTGTAGTTGTTTGAGTAGAAACTTGTAAGATTTACTGATAGCAGTTAAATTATTGACTGTCCATCGAATGACTTGTATGACGAACCAACTGTAGTGTGACACACGGATTAAGGCCATTAGCACCATGCAATCCTGCTTTCACCATATCATAAGTTGCTCTACGGGGAGTACAAATTCGGTGCTGAAACACCATGCTAGTGTCAAAACTTGATTTACTGTCTCTGCTTTTACCAAGATGTGTGGCAGTTTCCGATTGTTGGAGCATGGACCAAATTCATGTGTGTTCTTTATTCAAAATGTATCATCTGATTTTGTGCTAGTAGCAATTAAAACGTAAAATGTTTTTAAAATTGTCAAATTTAGAGGCCAAAAGGACAACGGGTGTATATCTGTCCAATATATTACATAGGGGACGGTAAAGGTTGACTATAAGACATTAAATGAGTAAAACTTCTGCTGTGCTAAACCTGTGCATCCGCCATCATGTTTTTATGTTGGTTATGTTCCGGACCATATGAGTATTTGGACCGTACGCGTATGGTCATGACCATATGGGTATACTCATATGGTTATTAACGGTCCGGACCATATGAGTATTTAGACCATATAGGTATTTTTGCGGATAAATTCGAACTTCCTTAACTGACACAGCTCGCTCTCTGAACCAAAATCAGTTCAATTTATTAACTGAAATCCTTTATCTTTACATATTGTCTGAATGTTGCTATATTTGTTGTCTTGCCTTCGCTATCTATCATCAATGTTATGCACCTTTATCCTGCCGAAACTTTCGTCCGTACGTGAAACTGCAGGTGTTTGGGGCATGGACATTATTTTTCTTTTTCTCCGACGTTTAGATTAGATTTTCTCTAATTTCTTCTAATTTCCACTTATTTTCACTTAAATGATGAGTGCATACTCTTATTCATAAGATCTTACAATAACAGTGGTTTCTACATAAGAATAGAGGGGCAGCTCGTATAAACTACTGTAATTCGTATACAAATTAAATAACTAAAAATAATTTAGAATGTTTAAAAAATTTTAATTCACAAAAAATTTATAATATCAAAATAAAGAAAAAAGGAGAATTCAATTCTCCAAATGCTAATGTGTAAAACAGTTAACTTCTTGCTTAACAGTTCATTTAGTTATTTTCGGAGTCACCGGGAAAATGTACCTGATAAGAACTAGTGAAACGAACTGTAAAGAGTTACTGTCTGGTAACATAAATTGACGGTGGAAGCCAAAACAAAATGCTCATTAAAATATATAGACACTGACCTTCTCAGGATTAGAAAGACACATCTGATAAGAAATAATGCCGGTCACAATACATATGCTACCACAAAGGCGGCAGTAAAAAGAAGAATGTAACTGGAAGTTTACACATAACACGCAATTAGAATAAATTAAATCCGTCTTGTCCACTGTGTAACAAGGAACTCACTTCTTGTCCTGTGCTAGTACCTTATTACTGTCAGACAACCGATTATGAAGGCCTTAAATAATAGTCATGGAGATGTTATTGGGACTAAATATACAGATAATATCAGAAGCAAATCAGTTAGCACAGATCATATAAGATTGCTCGTCCAGCCCCCTTTTGCTACTGCAATATTACAAGAACCTAGAATTTATTAGAAGAGTACTATGACATGCCCTCCTTATAGCACGCAGTACTGCTTTGAACATTCATCAATATCAAATCCAGTATTAGTAGAGGACTATGACATACCCTCCATATAGCACGCAGTACTGCTTTGAACATTCACCAATATCAAATCCAGTATTAGTACAGGACTATGACATGCCCTCCATATAGCACGCAGTACTGCTTTGAACATTCACCAATATCAAATCCAGTTTAGTAGAGGACTATGACATGCCCTCCATATAGCACGCAGTAATGCTTTGAACATTCACCAATATCAAATCCAGTATTAGTAGAGGACTATGACATGCCCTCCATATAGCATGCAGTACTGCTTTGAACATTCTCCAATATTAAATCCAGTATTAGTAGAGGACTATGACATGCCCTCCATATAGCACGCAGTACTGCTTTGAACATTCACCAATATCAAATCCACCTAGTAGCAAAACTAAAGTCCAAGATGAAAAGAAAGACCACAGCATAGGTCATAGGTCATAGGCATCACTGACCTTAACTAGCATCAAAACTATATCAGTCCAAGATGGAAAGAAAGACCACAGCATAGGTCATAAGCATCACTGACCTTAACTAGCAGAAAACTATATCAGTCCAAGATGGAAAGAAAGACCACAGCATAGGACATAGGCATCACTGACCTTAACTAGAAGAAAACTATACCAGTCCAAGATGGAAAGAAAGACCACAGCATAGGTCATAAGCATCACGGACCTTAACTTGAAAGCAAAATCAAAGAAGCCAGTACCAAGGAAAGTACATATTTGTTTTATGGACGATATGAATGGGGTAAATGGAACACCTTGAGAGAGAGCAGATCAATTTCATACGGAAATCGGAGAAATATACAAATATTCCATGTTAAATTTGAAGTTAAATTTTTAACACAAATATGCCAACCAAAAAAACTGTCATCCCGATGGCATGTACCGTGGATCACTAGAGAGGTTTAATTAATAATTACAACAACAAAAAAACCAGCAAGGCTAAATGCACAACCAATGAGAAACACTGGGACAAATTTAAGTTACTTAAAAAGACAGTAAAATCTAAACTGGAAAAGCAAATTTAAACTATATATCACAAATATTAAAATAGGTGAGGCAGAAGGAAAACAGCTGTATGTAGAATCAAAGAAGACTCGTATGGAGTAGGAGCACTCAGATCAAATGGGAAAAAAAAGAATGACAATTAAACTAAACCAGAGCACTATACCAATAACTTTTATGTTTTCACAAATTAAGTTCATAAATCCAACCAGCATTGAAAGGCAACTCATCACCGGGCATATGTCAGTTAAGAATAACAGATGGAGTAAAAAGATCTTGAGCAATGTCACTGACCCCAAAACGCTAAATGGTCCAAACAACATACCAAACAGAGTTCTTACAGAATGTATCTCTTCATACATTATAACAATAAATACATAATCATGTAAAGAAGACTCAGTCCCAGACAATTTCATAATCGCAGTCATCACAACTCTATTTTAGAAGGGAGATAAAATACTCTTAAGTACACTATACACCTGTTTCATTGATGAAAGTTACCTGTAAATTCATGGAACACATAATGCAACATCTTGAGAAATATAACATTCTGGTGTATTACCAACACAGATTCAGGCAGATAATTAGATAATGCAAATGTCAATTTAGATATAGCCAAAAAGGTGTGGCTCATTCAAAGTTAAAAGTGTGTAGCAGTTGAAGGTAAAACCTCTGTAACACTTGTAAAATTACCGTAAGTGGTGTACCACAAGGAACAGTTCATACCCTTTGATATTCCTTTTGTAAATAAATGATATTGGTGGTGAAATTATATCAAAGTTGCACCTTTTTGTAGATGATAGCCTTTTATAACTATCAACAGATTGTACTGATGACTAAATTCAGGAAAGAGTACATCAAGCTAAAGTAAGGCAAAATGTTAAATACGAGAGTAGAGCTTGGGATCCATATAAGGTAAAACCTCATTAATAAGATTAAAATAGAGCAAAGAATATCGACCACTTTCATTAAACATCAATACAATAGAGAACCTTGATCAGTTACCAACATACTGAATGATTTAAACTTGCCCTCATTAGAGACCCAATAATAATTAGAAGGTTTGCTTGTTCCATAAATATCCTAAATAATGTAAATCAACAAGAGAGGACAAAAGACAATACAGTGTATCACCAAAGAACATTTTTAAATGTTCAGACATTAACTAACATTCTAAAACAAACAAATGTTTTTCCCTGTACCCTCAATCAACTGTCCATCAAGGACTGGAACAGCTTTCCAACACAACTGTTCAAGTTGACAGAAGAACACTCTGACCATGTTAGGAAAGTCTAGATCTTATCCTGCTAATCAATTTTGTCCTGCATATCATTTTTGCTATGTACAGTTTCTCTCTATCTATTATAGTTTCCGTAATACACATAAAAATTGTAGTAATCTTCATTCAAGGACATTAACTCCTCAAAGGCGTCAACTAACAATTCAGGCTATGTTGATATATATAGATCTTGCCCAGTAGATTATATTGCATGTTACTAAATATTATAAAAATATATAAATTGAAAGGGCAATTACTCAAATAAGGAGTCATCTGACAATTTTGGTCAAAATGGACAGAAGGTAGATCTTGGAATATTTCAGTCCCCCAGATTTTCTTTATCAATAAAACTTTTCAATATAAAAGACAGTGCCTACATTTCACCCCTAAGTTCTTGTTTTAGCATTGGTGGCCAAGTTGGTTGGCAGATGATTCATCAGAAATATTTTTTAAACTACATTTATGGATACCTAAAGATGAGTGTGGCCAAGTTTGGTTCTAATTGACTTGTTAGTTTCAGAGGAAAAGATTTTTGTGAAAGTTAATGGGATGAAGACGAGCAACAGACACCAAGTGATGAGAAAAGCTCACATGGACATGGACCTTTGAACCAGGTGAGCTAGAAGAGCTTAAATGAATTAAAAGTTTTGACACAACAATTTAATAAATAATGAAACAATATTGCTAATCTGTGTATACAATAAAACTACAGTTAAAATACAAATAATACTACAATTTGAAAAGGTCTTATTTATGAACTGACTTTTTCTTCTGATCAAGAGGATTTCACATAATGAATCTTGAAGATAATGAATTAAATTGATTGCTTAAAGTAATTGACCTCCATCTGTTGTATCTTGAAAATCTGGGTTTTATACAGGAAAATCCAATATAAACATTCCAACTTTAAACAGTTATTACTATATCACAGTCCAGTAAATTGAAGATAAAAGATCAAGAGATTCATTTCATCAGTTTCCTGCAAATAAAAAAGACTTTTCTTAGTTGCAATAAAAACACATGAAAAATGTATACATAGTATTTTCACTATCAAATTTACATTAAATAATGAAAGGTCATAAATTTCAAATGAGTGATATCAGGTTATTAATCTTTTTTATATGAAGAAAACCTTTATCCCTCCATATTCTGTTCACAACAATTAATCTAAATAATATATTTAGCTGTTATAACAAAATGATAAGAGAATAATGCACATTTACAAAATATTTTTTCCCATTTATCCTTGATCTAAGTAGCAGATTCAAGTAAAAATATATTTTACCTTTGTTTAATAATACCAATAAATTTTAAAATATGACAACATAAATATCACAAAAACAAATGGTGGAAAAAAATCTGATAAAAGAAACATTCAGGTTGGCAAAACGTTTTTTAGAGCTTAACCTTGGTCTAGGAGTCATAAACATAAATTTGTCACCTATAAAGTAACTGTGGACAACATGATTTGTTTTTGCTGTTTGGTTGCTATGTCATTGACATATACCCCCCCCCCCCTTCTCCTTTTATTCACATAGTTTAAGATTACCACAGTTAAAACATTGATTACTCTTAACATACATCACATTACAAATTCATTTAACTTATTCCCAATTGCTAATCCGTATTGTAACCTGAAATCATGTTTACCTTAAGTTGATTTATATAAGAAAAATAAACACAAAAACAAAGTAATCAGTTACAAATTTAATAAAAATAAAATGCTCCGCAGGGTGCAGCTTGATACGACCGCAGAGGTCGAACCCTGAACAGTTGGGGCAAGTATGGACACAATATTCGAGCTTGATACAGCTCTGAATTTGGATTGTGATTAAATATTTGACACAGCATATGTTTCTGACACAGAATGAATGTGGTCTAAGAACTTAAAAATTTTAAATTGGACATTCACCTATTATGGTCCATTTCCAAAATCTAAATACATGGTTAGATTCAGCATATCAAAGAACCCCAAGAATTCAATTTTTGATGAAATCAAACAAAGTTTAATTTTGGACCCTTTTGACCTCAATGTGGACAAAGTTGATAACTGGGCCCAAAAATCAAAATACATGGTTAGATTCAGCATATCAAAGAACACCATATATTCAATTTTTGTTGAAATCAAACAAAGTTTGATTTTGGACCCCGATTTGGACCAACTTGAAAACTGGGCCCATAATCAAAAATCTAAATACATGTTTAGATTCAGCATATCAAAGAACCCTAAGAATTCAATTTTTGTTAAAATCAAACTTAGTTTAATTTTGGACCCTTTGGACCTTAATGTAGACCAATTTGAAAACGGAACCAAAAATTAAGAATCTAAATACACGGTTAGATTCGGCATATCAAAGAACCCCAATAATTCAATTTTTGATGAAATCAAACAAAGTTTAATTTTGGACCCTTTGGACCTCAATGTGGACCAATTTAAAAACGGGGCCCAATATCCAAAAACTTAATACACGGTTAGATTCAGCATATTAAAGAACCCCAAGAATTCAAGAATAAAACCCCATTGAAATTGGTCAAGAAATAAGCAATTTATACGAAGTATCTTCTTTTGCACAATACTGTGCAATTGAATATTTCTTGCTATTGCGCAATACTGCACAATTGACAATTTCTTGCTATTGCGCAATATTGTGCTATTGGATATTTCTTGCTATTGGGCAATGCTGTGCAATTGAAGATTTCTTGCTATTGCGCAATACTGTGCAATTGAAGATTTCTTGCTATTGTGCAATACTGTGCAATTGAAAATTTCTTGCTATTGCACAATACTTATTATATAATAATTTACACATCCTGTTTGGTGTGTATCTCCTACCATATCATTATTATTTGCTTTTAAATATAAATCAGAAATAAACAACTTAAAATGGAAAATTTTTAAATGAAAAAAAAAGGAAAAAAAAAAATTCCCCCCCCCCAAATTTTTTGAACCCCCTTATGATTCATCACCCCCAAACTCAATCCCAGCCTTCCCTTTGTGGTATGGTACCTTGCAGTACAATTTCAGAGAGATCCATACACTTGAACACAAGTTATTGTCTGGAAACTAGAAAAATGTGTTTTTTAGCCCCTTTTTGGCCCCCAATTCCTCAACATTTCGGGCAATTACCCCAAACTCAATTCCAGCTTTCCCTTTGTGATATGGAACCTTGTAGTACAATTTCAGAAATATCCAAACACTAACACACAAGTTATTGTCATGAAACTAGAAAAATGCTTGTTTTTTGCCCCTTTTTGGCCCCTAATTCCTAAAATTTTGAGACAATTACCCCCAAAATCAATCCCAGCATTCCCTGTGTGATATGAAACCTTGTGGTACAATTTCAGAGAGATCCATACACTTGAACAAAAGTAATTGTCTGGAAACTAGAAAAATGCTTATTTTTGGCCCCTTTTTGGCCCCTTATTCCTAAACGTTTCGGGCAATTACCCCCAAACTCAATTCCAGCTTTCCCTTTGTGATATGGAACCTTGTAGTACAATTTCAGAAAGATCCATACACTTTCACACAAGTAATTGTCATTAAACTAGAAAAATGCCTTTTTTGCCCCTTTTTTGGCCCCTAATTCCTAATATTTTGAGGCAATTACCCCAAAAATCAATCCCAGCATTCCCTTTGTGATATGGAACCTTGTGGTACAATGTCAGAGAGATCCATACACTAACACACAAGTTATGTCTGGAAGTTACAAAAATGCTTAATTTTGGCCCCTTTTTGGCCCCTAATTCCTTAACTGTTGATACCATAACCCCAAAATCAATCCCAACCTTCCTTTTGTGGTATTGAACCTTATGGTAAAATTTCATAGAGATCCATTCACTTAAACTAAAGTTAGAGTGCGAAAACCAACGTGTCTTCGGACGACGCCGGACGACAACGACGACGCCAACGTCATACCAATATACGACCGCAAAAATTTTTGCGGTCGTATAAAAATGACAACAATTTAAAATGCAACATTCACTGACAATGTGCAACTCACCACTTTAAACATTCAATCATACCAAGCTGCAAGCAACAAGTATTTGAACTTTAACTGTTAAGGTTCAATTTCAATAGTATGTCAAAGTTTCACTTAATTTTACAAAATCATCTTATAAAGAGTATGGCTGCATGAATGTCTTTTTCAGTAATATCAGTAACAGGTAAACAGCTGAACTATGAGTGTTTGCTATGCATATCTCCTTTATATTGGCCATTAAAATCCAATATCATCACAGAAGAGACATTAATTGTCGAAATACGCATCTGGTGCAGTAAAATTGGTACTGTTCATATTATTACCCTCAATTTGCTTTCTACTTTTACAGATTTTACAGATATTCAGTTTGTAGAGATGGATTCAAACTACAATTTGATAAAACCTTTAGAGTATGTACAGTAAATAAACATTATTTTTAAGCACATCAAAAGTCCTGTGATATCAATAAATAATCATCAAAGCATACTTGAGATATTGTAGAACTTTTTATGCCAGGTGTACAGTTACTGTACATCATAATACATCCATCCTTGAAAAGCATATTCAAACCGAGTGTAAAAATAACATTTTATCCCTTTTACTTATATTAAATTTGACTGATCTTAAACTTAACAATCTGACTTGAATTGATTTTTATATAATTTAGCAAAATATCATTGCATGAAGTTGCTAAGAACTATATTTTTTTGCATGAACTTTCAATGTTGTCAAAGATATGTGCCTTTAAATGGCAATATATCCTTCCTCTATAATGTTAAAATATGGATTTTTATACAGTACATAATTATTGAGACATTCATGTGTAAAATGTTCCAGATAAACTGACTTTGTACTGACACAAAGTGTGGTGAATATAATAGAAAAGAAAGGATAAGGGGTACATGTATGACTTATACTTCTGAATACACATTGATTACTTTGTAGAATTTGTGTATTATTACAAACAAATTAAAAGTGCTAAAATTAGTTAGAAGTTTGTTTGTAAAAAATTTTAAAAATATGGTAATAGATCTTCTGGTGGTAATACAAGTTATTGGGTAAAGGAGCTACCATTTGATTTTTATGGGGGGGCTAGCATGAAATTTGAAAAAAATAGGCAGGACAGGAGTTTTGAGTAAAAAAAAAGGCAGGATGAGATTATTTGCAAATAAAAAGGCAGGATGACAATTTATGTAAAAAAAAAAGTCAGGATAAACTAAAAAAAAAAGGCAGGACCGAATAGAGTGAAAAATAAAAAGGCAGGACCGAATAGAGGGAAAAATAAAAAGGCAGGACAAAATTTTTCATCCTAGCCCCCCCATAAAAATCAAATGGTAGCTCCCTATAGCTAAAGAGTATCTTTTTTTATGACACTTTATTAGTACATTTATCAGTGGCTTCACTTATGCTCTTAGTTACCCTCCAACTTTTAAATTTAATCTCCATCACCAGTAAAAAATATCTTGAAAAAATGTATGCTGCATTAAAAGTTCTCTGACTTACTAAAAAAGTTAAAATATCAATTAACAATTAACACAAGTCTAGTACAATCATGACAATTGTGAACATATTTTTTCCCATCTATCATGAATTCAATTATCACGTTTTTGGTGGTTATTTATTTTCTTTGCAGATTCAGTGTCTGATGGCATAACATTACATAAATCAGAGTTATTCAACAGATCATATTAGCTAGTTGTTTGGCCACTTAAAATGAGGTAGAAAAATCATTACATTAATAATATCGTTAACCTTTCTTTTTTTTTTATCTATCATAGTAACATTACATGAGACAAATTTTGATACACAGAAAGTAAATAGATATTTATTTATATGACTTATTTGTGCATAATTAATTTATTTTGGAAATTTACCCTGGAGTTATGTCCATGTTCAGTTTATTTCTGTGATCTTATATAAATTCACAATACAGACTAGCTCAAGAAGAGGTGATATTAACAAGATACATTACACATATTGCAATAAAATGTTTATCTGAATATATGTATTTTAATAGAATGTTCAAACATCACCCCTCTTTATCTAGAAAAATACAACTTTTTTATCGAAATATTCCATTACTTTATTTTACATTTAAATAAATGAAAACCCAGTAAAGCAGTTTTAGAAAGGGAATACCAAGCAATATGAGATTTCATATTTGCTTTCACAATACTAAACCTAGCAGCAATTTAAGAGTTCAATTTAAATAATGAAGAGGAGAAGTCAGAGAAAAATAGTGTTTTATTAAAAGACATATAAACATGAATATTATTCTAGCTGAGTGCAACTTGTGGAAAATCTGCAATTTATCTGCAATCTGAAAGCTAGAGGTGCTGTTATAAATGACAGAAGCTCCTAATAACCAAACGAGCATTTGTATGTAGTTTTAAATTAAGATTAACATGCTTATAACATCAATTTTCAATTTCATAGACAATTATCACTTAAAGGAAACATCAAAGTAAATATGAATTGTCTTGATCATAACGGCATTTCATTATTAGCAACAAAATGGAAATTTTTCCAAACAAATTTTTCCTAATGCTATTGAACTTAAAATCTAAACTTTTAAGCTCAGCAGATTATAGATTGGCTCATACAAAAAATTTAACTGCAAAATAGATTTAGAGATTGAAAGAATAATGAGATTTAATACAAATCTTTTTGAAATATGCATTGATATTCTATTCAATTAAAAGCATGTCATTCTTAAAGATCGCACATAAAATTCAATTAACAACAGGTTATTTTCGTTATCTAAAACACATATTTTCCGGAGAAAAGAAAACAATTATCAGATAACCTTAATCTTTTAATAAATATTTCAAATTCTAAGAAAAGTGAAAGAAAATTGTCTCCTTACCATATGTTTTGACTAAAACAAGACATGAAAGTATCTTAATTGGAAAATTAGCAGTAATATCATAAATCTTGCTGAGAGACACTTTGAAAGGTGACTTTTATAATTACTAATAAATAAAACAAAATACACATGTTATGTAAGTCATGGGAAAACAGCTTTAAAACAAAGTATTTGTGTATGACCTAAAACTACATACTTCATGCTCTTATGCAAGGATTTAATTGGTTGTTCAAGGCGTTTGTTACCAATATGACCGTTGTCATGGTTTTGTACTGTATAAATTTTTTGCTACATTTTCACTCCTAATTGAAAGGAAATAGTAACAAAACATATAATAACTAAATACAATCAAAACGTAAATCCTACAACGAACTTTGCTATGGTTACATTAATAGTTCTATATTAGTTTATATTCAAACTTCACAAAAGATGCATTTAATACCAATGTTTATTTCTTTTGTTTCTCCAACAATCTAAAAGTTAACAAAGTAAATTTACACTTTCTTGAAAAAAATAGATGGGGGAAAAATAAAACCATGACACAAACATATAATAGATTTTTTTTAAATCTAATAGCCTGAAAATAATTATGATATAATTTCTCTTCTTAAAACAAATCAACTTTTTTTTTAATCAATTTAATCACTCAGTTAAAGCACACAATGCATTAATATGGTGACTGTAGTGTTAAGAACAAAACACCAAGTAAATGCATTAATATGGTGACCGAAGTGTAAAGAACAAAACACCAAGTAAATGCATTAATATGGTGACTGCAGTGTAAAGAACAAAACACCAAGTAAATGCATTAATATGGTGACTGCAGTGTAAAGAACAAAACACCAAGTAAATGCATTAATATGGTGACTGCAGTGTAAAGAACAAAACACCAAGTAAATGCATTAATATGGTGACTGTAGTGTAAAGAACAAAACACCAAGTAAATGCATTAATATGGTGACTGCAGTGTAAAGAACAAAACACCAAGTAAATGCATTAATATGGTGACTGCAGTGTAAAGAACAAAACACCAAGTAAATGCATTAATATGGTGACTGTAGTATAAAGAACAAAACACCAAGTAAAATTTCTTATCAATCTTCAACATACACTTGTGTAAATAATACAAAGATGATCTATCTTTTCAAATCATTACCTTATAATACATTTAAAGCAGAATTACTACTTTTTACATTTGCCTATTGTTATGATGCTTAAAAACCTGTACTTGTGTATTATGTTAAGTTAAATTGTTTCAGATAACAATTTTCTGTAATTACTTTTTTTAATATTGATCGTAATTCTGATTTTTGTGATTAAAATGTGAGATTAGGTAATAAGTCTTTTACTTCAGTGTAAAGTCAGGCAATAGACCTGGATAATTCAGATATCACTGTCAGATAATTTTTCATGGTTCTACGCCCGAAAGCAAACAACTTTGTTTGTTAGTTTTTGAGGATAGTTGTCTCATTGGTAAAAATAAAATAGCTCCTTATTTTTTTAATTTCAAATCAATTGTAAATTAAGCAGTCAATATTCATATAATGTTTGACAAAACTGAGACCATTCAAGAATTTAAAACCAATTTTCTTGCAAATTCAAATTTTGCATTTTGACTAGTGGTATCTAATAAATTGGTGAAGTGACACAGTTTATTTCAGGTGCCTTAGATTATCATGAGTCCAATTCCGTTATTCTGGTTTCATTGAACCAATTGTGAGAAAACTGGTCCAAATCCTTTATCGTTTTGGATGAAACATGATACCTTTGTCAATCCATGTTAAGGAAACATCTTGACACATAACTGAAACTGGATCAACTTATTCTAGTTATAGAGATAGCTGACAAACTGGAGGACAAAGAATGATCCATTGACAGTCAAAATTTTATAAATAAACAAGTATTTACTTTTAGAAGACAATAAACCTATTCCATCAACGATGAATCATATTGTGTATCATTAGATTAGAACATTAGCATACTCATTTCACATTAAAAACCTGATATGGTTATAAATATCTTTCCTTTCTATCTTCCTATTTCTTGATTTACTTGCTTTTCTAAATCTTACTTAAATTATTTTTATCAAATAACACTAGTTCTTACAACAATGCCTGATTTGCAATTGATCCAGGTATGCTGAGATATTTTTACAAAATCAATTTGCATTTTTAGCAAGGTTGCACCAAATTAAAACTTGTCAGTTCAGACATTTTCCTTGTTAAATTGTACATTGTATTATTTTTAATTTAAACCAGTATTTCCTTACCAACTTCTAGCTTTAGGTTTGATATCATCTACAATAGCCTGTACAACCTCTAGTGTTGTTGCCTGTCCTCCCAAGTCTGGTGTATGGATCTACAAAACAAAGATTCTTCAATAACTTATACTTATATGTATATATTAAAAGTAAATTCAGAGAGTTTTATTGTGATTGTTGAACAATAGACACAAGTTTGAGATTAATCATCATGATCATTGTGTTTTCATGATTAATCATCATGATCATTGTGTTTTCATGATTAATCATCATGATCATTGTGTTTTCAGGAAAGTGCTGCATACAAACAATGTTATCAAAATATAAAACGCTAGTTTTTATTTAAAAAAAACCAATAAATTTTTGCAATAATAAAAACATTGCAGAATAGACTGTTTTCAGAATGTATTGCTCACCTGACTGATGAAATTTCCCATAAGATTGAATGACACAATATGCTCAATTTTTCATGATGAAAACAAAATGATGTTAAAGAAAATATTAAATGAAATGGTACTTACCTTCTTTTCACATAAAACATCCATAACAGAGTCTCTTATCAAAGTTGCATGTTCATATTGTCTGTGAATAAAATATATGTTAAAGTAAACTTTCATATAAAATATATGTTAAAGTAAAATTGTATATAAAATATATGTTAAAGTAAAATTGTATATAAAATATATGTTAAAGTGAAATTGTATATAAAATATATGTTAAAGTAAAATTGTAAATAAAATATATGTTAAAGTAAAATTGTAAATAAAATATATGTTAAAGTAAAATTGTATATAAAATATATGTTAAAGTAAAATTGTATATAAAATATATGTTAAAGTAAAATTGTATATAAAATATATGTTAAAGTAAAATTGTACATAAAATATATGTTAAAGTAAAATTGTATATAAAATATATGTTAAAGTAAAATTGTAAATAAAATATTTGTTACAGTAAAATCTTGCTAAATTTCAACTTCGGTAAAACAGTAACTTTCTCTTAACAGGACATGCAATGAATATTATCTAGGGTAGTAATTAAACCTTCAGTCAGATTTGAAATCACTTAGAATTAGAATTACTTTGCTGCTATCTTAGTACACTAACATATATGTAATATTTAATCACTACTAATTTGAAGATTATTTTTGGTCTTTCATATTTCCCTGTAACAAAATATAGAAAACAAGGCCAAAACAAAAATACTGTTTGTTTGCCCAAACAGGTCTAACCCAACATTTTTTACAACAATTTTGTGACCTTGATCGTCGATCAAGCCAGGAAAACTCAAGCAACCATTTGTAAATAATTTGTTTTCAACTTCCAGAATGATGGACAAATGAAAGGACAGAAAGAGGGAAAAATAACCAACTATATGCTCCCCAATTTTTTTTTGCTGGTATAATAGTGTTTCATAACAAACATTAACTTTTGTTACAAACTGGCTTATAAATAAATAATAGTGCTTTTAATACAAGCTACCCTCATAAACATGATAAAAAGACATATTGGCAGCCAATATCAAATATTATGTCCATAATATATAAATAAACATACCCTAAATAATCTAACATGTCACATGCTGCTAGTAACAACCCTGATGGATTGGCTATGTTCTTTCCTTTCAAAGATCTTCCTGAATTCCTTGTTCCCTGTATACAACATTATACTTTTAAGAACACATCATATAAATTTAGATTCCAGAATATAAATTTTACACTTTTCCCATCACACAACTTTTTTTAAAGAATTACCTCCCTGTAGGACAGATTCAAACTGAACATTTTTTTCCTTCAATTTTTTATCTGAATTACCTGAAAGTATCCAATTTGAGAATATTAAAGAATTAGAAAAAATTGAGTAGAACTGTTCTTTCATTGCCCCCCTCCCCCTGAAAAATGGAAAATGGAAACTAGACATTAGCTGTTTATGTTTGAGTGTAAAAGTTCTCAAAATTCTGATTGTACCTAAATCTAAAAACTTACTAATTCAAATACTGCATAGTCTTCACCCAGATTCATACCCGGCACAACTCCTGGTCCACCAACTAAACCTGCTGCTATGTTACTCAGGATATTACCATATAAATTAGGCATCACTAACACATCAAATTGCTGGGGTCTAGATACCATCTGAAATCAATCAACAGATTTAAATATTTCCATGACTACTGAAGTAATAAGGATATAAATTGTTTAAAACCAATCATCAAATGTCAGTGGTCTCAATAGTTGGATACTACCTATGATGCATCTTTTTCTTTTTTTAAATAAATGCATATATTTGGTTTTTCATTTTCTGGTGATATTTCTTTTGGTGGATAGATTGGTGTTTAACGTCCAGTGGAAAATATAACATCCATATCAGGACAAGAACATATTAATGTGAACTGAATATAAATCCTACTTCAAACAAGCACGCTACCACCAGACCAACAAGGCAATTCTTTTTTTAATAGAACTTGAAAAGTAGTTTTTATCAGATTAACTTATATATCATAGTGGATCTAGAAGACATGACTCTTTTTAAAAAGAAAAGTATACCTGCATACTAGCATTATCTATGATCATATCATTAAACTCTATATCTGGATATAAACAAGCAACTTTTCTGCAGCTTTCTAAAAATAAACCGTCTCCAAGTTTCCTGCAAAACAAAAGAATGGTAAAAGAAAAAAATGTTTTATAGCTATAAATATTAAACTTTCAACTGACTTATATCTAAATTTCAAGTATGATCATTCTGATATTTAGAACACTATACTCTTGAAAATGACTTTGTATGTAAATGGTCATACATAAACTACCTCTGTACAGAAAATCAGATCAGTTCTAAAAGTTTAAAATAAGCACTTGCAATCTTTAATTCATACAAGTGATCATCTAAAAACAAAAGTATTTTCATATTTAGCATGCAAACATAATTTTTCTCTGGATCATTTTGGTATATCTAACATGGGTTCTTTAAATTCATTTAAATTTGTCAGTTTTTTAATTGATACTGAAACAAAATTTGTTTTTGTGACTGTGCCAAAATCTAGCATCAAAATTTAAAAAAAAATTAATAATACTCAAAACCAACTTGTGTGTAATTAAAGATTATATACTTCTCTGTAACAACTTACATTATATTAGCCTTATGAATAGCTGTAACTTTCTTTCGTCCGTGTCTTTTAGCAAAATCAAAAGCATATTTGGCTATTTTTGTTGACTTTTCTGATGTGATTATTTTCAAACTTTCTACCACTCCTGGGACATTCTAAAAATAAATAACACATTATATATAGTAACAAAAATGCTGGAAATAGGTTGTAATTAGGCTTCTTATTGTCACAACTATAATTCTAAAATGATTAAGCGTTAGCTATAATCTCATTTAGTTATAAGGCGTCATCATCCATCAAGTGTAACAACCATACCGTAAGACATATTTGATTGAAGATATCTTTTCCAGTAAAAGTGATATGATTTGAATACTTTTTTTATAAGACTGTTGATCATATTGAACTATGCAATAAGATCACTTTTCTGGTCTTATATATACAGTAATATTGTACTAAAAGCGCAGAAATCACTATGTGATCCTTGTAAACTCATCGAACCTTTAAACAAACTTAATAGTAATGGTTATCTTATTAATGTTGTAATAAGATCTTTGAATATTGTTTACATCGGCACTAACATCAATTTTGTCATCAACAAATTAAAACATAACTAAATTTGTATTCTTTTCGATTGGTTTTTGGGATGTATAAATACACATCCACATTAATTTTCTATTTAGAGATTGCTTTATTTATAAATAACATTATACATATTTATTATAAGGTTAAATCCTAACGATCCTACTGCCTTTCGATACTTTTATTTTGGCATTGCACAAGTCATGTCTTCTTGACTGTCCATGGTGTTAAAACACTAAATACCTGGGATGTGTTTTTATTGATTTTAGTCTCTGATACATGATTTTTTTATTGTTAATTGTTTTTGGCTTTTAACTAGCTTTCAGTAACTGCGAGTACTGTCAAATCGTACTTTGTTGTTAATTTAACCTGTTGACACAATTTGTAATGCATTTCTGTAATTCAATTTTTTACTTATTTTGTGTTATAACTCATCTCACTATTTTTAATATGTACCACCTTTGATAAGTATTTAGTATGACGATAAATTTTCACTTCTGTACTCGTACTCTGAACAACAAATTTATTTGTAAAAAATGTTTACTTCCGTACTCCTAACGTTGTGTACGTTGTTTTATTACTGTAACGTCTATGATATATAGGCACCTACGTTTTAATATTATATTTATGTGTCATAGATCAAACTTATTCATTCAGTGTATGATTACTTGTTTTTGTTTAAATGTCTTTTTGATCGAGTTAAGCCATTTCAATTGCTATTTTATAGTGTGTCTTTTTATGTTGTAATGTTACACAACTGTCTCAGGTTAGGGTGAAGGTTGGCACCTGTTAAAACGTTTAAACCTGCTGCATTTGTTTGCACCTGTCCTAAGTCAGGAACCTGATGTTCAGTGGTTGTCGTTTGTTGATGCGGTTTATATGTGTTTCTCATTTCTTTTTTTTATATAGATTAGACCGTTGGTTTTCCTGTTTGAATTGTTTTACACTAGTCATTTTGGGGCCCTCTATAGCTTGTTGTTCGGTTTGAGCCAAGGCTCCGTGTTGAAGGCCGTGCTTTGACCTATAATTGTTAACTTTTTATATACATTGTGACCTGGACGAAGAGTTGTCTCATTGGCACTCATTATACTCATACCACATCTTCTTATTTATATTATATGCCAAATTGTAGATTGTTTTGACATAAGGACAGAATTTGTTGCATTGAAATGGCCAGACCATACTAAATATAAAATTATAAAAATTAAATAAATGAAGAATGTGTCTGAGGACACAAATAACCCCGTTCAAATTTTGCAATTTTCCAAGTTAAAAAGGGACATAACTCTAGAACGGTAAATGACTTACAACCCAAATTTGAACTCCATCTGTGTGTTGTGGTTCTTAGCATTGTGTGTGAGTTTTCATTGCATTAGGCAAAGTTAGAGAGTGGAAACCAAAATGGGACGAACAGACGATCAAGGGTAATGCTTAATGCCCCTGTTGCCTACGGCGAGGGCATAAATATTTCCAACTGTAATAAACTATAATTATATATGATTTCAATTTTATCCTCTGAAATCCTATTGTTCTAAGATTCAATAAAATGCTCCATGGTGCCCAGCTTGATACAACCGCAGAGGTTGAACCCTGAACAGTTGGGACAAGTATGGACACTACATTCAAGCTTGATACAGCTCTGAATATGGATTGTGATTAAATATTTTACACAGCATAGGTTTCTGTCACAGAATGAATGTGTTCAAAGAACTGAAAAACTTAAAATGGAACTTTTACCTATTATGGTCCATTATCAAAAATCTAAATATACAGTTAGATTCAGCATATCCAAGTACACCAAGAATTTAATTTATCTATTTATTAATGGACAATATTAGCTAAGTTTTTCAAATGCTCCATGAAGGAATTTAGTTTAAGCTGTAATTGGTAGGAAACCTTTTATCAAATTAATCAATATTTTTTTGATGTTTGAATATTGCTATAAGTGCAGATAGATGTGTATGGTAGTTGAGGTTTATTTGTCATCAGGTAATGATTGAAGTTTTTAAACATATTGTGACTTTGGGTGAGGGGAAAGGGGAGGGAATTCATTTTTCTTGACATTGTTAAACTGTTAGCAATTAGAAATTAATATTGATAATTTAGCAATTTTAGGAGTGAATGATGTAGTCGATATGAAAAGTAGAATAAGTTTATATCTAAGTTAAAAGGACAATAGAATTATATTATAATGAACTTAAGATTTTTTTATTTTTTTTGCAAAATAGGATAATAATATGGGATAAAATTGTGGCATGCAATTGGGCATGAATTAATATTATTACATTACATTATTGTTGTGTGTTTTAGAGTGGATTATCATTAAATTGTGGTTTTAGTTATTTCCCTTTGAACAGAAATGTCAATATGGAGGAAATAGTTTTTAAGTATATGTGCGAGAGGTCAAATCATTATTGAAGTGGATTGATATATTTGAATGAGTAAACGTGCAGTAGATAATTGATGTGATGCTATGGAGGAGGTAAATTTTCATTGTTTATTGGTTTTATGTATGACTTTGATAGTTAAAATGTTATTTTGAATTATTCATATAATAAATTTGTATGGACTATAATTTATGTGATTAATTTTAGGTGAGTTACTGCAATGCATATCTGTATCACTGAATGTCTAAGTGACATTAAATCAATAAATAAGTATTTGTTGTTTATATAGATGTTGTGATGAAAATATTTGTTAGGATGCAATAAATGTAGATGCATTGACTAAAATTGAAGGTGTGTTTTAGAAATGAAATGTTTATGTTCATGGAGGTTTAAAAGTTACAGACAGAAAATTACAAGAATTGCATTTTGTTTGAGATTTACCATATCAAAGAACCCAAATTTTTCATAATTATTTAAACCCCATTGAAATTGGTCAGAAATAAGCATTTCAAACTAAGTTTAAAAAATTGCTTGTTTTTAATCCCTTTTTGGTCCCTAATTCCTCAGCGAATACGGCCATAACCCCTAAATTAAATCCAACCTTCCTTTTGTGGTATGGAACCTTGTGGTACAATTTCATACAAATCCATACACTTATACTCAAGTTATTGTCTGAAAACCAGAAATATGTTTGCTTTAAGCCCCTTTTTGGCCCAAAATTCTTAAACAGTTAGGGCCATAACCATCAAAATCAATCCCAACCTTCCTTTTGTGGTATGAAAACCTTGTGGTAAAATTTCAGAGATCCATACACTTATACTAAAGCTATTGTTTGGAAACCAATTGTCTTCAGACGACAACAACGACGACCTAGTCATACCATTATACGCCCTCAATTTTTTGCAGTCGTATAAATAAACAGGGTTAAGCGCCAACAAACATGTTTAACTTCGCCACATTCTGCATGTGCCTTCCAAGTCAGGAGCTTGTAATTCATTCAGTGGTTGTCGTTTGTTTCTGTATATCATACTTGTTTTTCATTTATTGTTTTGTACTTAAATCTGGATGTTAGTTTTCTCCTTTGAATTGTTTTACATTTTACATGCAGGGGCCTTTTATAACTTGCTATGCGGTATTGGTTTTGTTCATTGTTGAAAGTGGCACCCTCACCTTTAGCTACTTACTTCCATGTCATTTAGTCTCTAGTGGATAGTTGCCTCATTGGCAATCATACCACATTTTCTTATTTTAAAAAAAACAGAAGCAAGTTTGTATATTTCAATATCATGGTACCACTCTAAGTTTGTAAAAAGCCTTAGGCTAGTGTTTTTTAATCTGTTAGTTTACACATTTTTATGTGAAAAAGTTGGGGCGATCAGTTGGGAAAAAAAAGAAAAATATCTTACAAGACATAAACATGATAAATATGTATATTGATTGATTGATTGTTGCTTTAATGCCAGTGCTGGATATCCTTTTCATCCTTTGGCAGGCAATCTGGATTTTAGATATATCCAAATGAACGAACATTGTTTTTTCAATCTATGAAACAAGAAAATTCCAAATTGTGTGTGGATATCTGTTACCTTAAACTTTCGCCTTTCGCTTTTGAACGGGTTCATTTTGTCTATGAGATCAAAACTTTTAAGGATTTATTATAAAAAAGGAAAACAAACTTAATGTCATGAGCTTTTTACATAGTTTTCATTCCGCAAAATTATTTGCACAAACAACATTTCAAGGTCAGTTTTGATTGTCTGTTCTTTGGAACACAAACACTAAAGATTATTTTTTAGATTTTTAATTTTTTAATCATTGAACATACCAAAATAATGCATATAATTTCAGGAAATGCTACTACGCAGATAATTTTATTTTTATTTCACAGATAATGTATTTGGTCGGTGAGAATAAAAAAAAATTAAATATCAAATTTAAAAAAAATAATTCTGAAAATCGGAAAAATAGGGTCGGCATCCTCATTGCCTTACCTCATGTTCTAAGTTTGTGTATTCTCCTTCTGTGTTCTCTCTAATCAGAATCAGATCTATGTTATTATGTCTAGTTTTCACAGCAGGTATAGATCTACACCATACAACACTTGCAAATAAATTCAACTGTGTTCTGGAATGAACAATAATTATGAAGGTTATAAAAATACAAAAACAAACAATTTAACCCCTTAAAGGTCATCATCTAAGGTGGAATAAAAATAAGTAAGTTGTATCATGTGAGGAAGTTACTTGAATCATTACACTCAAAATAAGATAGGAGGAGGTTCATTAAGATTATTTTTTTGCATAAACATGAAATTTCACAAAGTCATGTAAATCCTACTTTTTTGATTGACAGGTTTCTATCAAATCTTTAACTGTAAGTTCTTTCAAATATTATGAATATTCAGAAAGATTTAAGGTTGAAAGATGATATTACTTTTTAATTTTTCAGTGGGAAACATGAAGTGTATGCAAAAACCAGTAAGAGAGGTCTTAATCATATAAAGAAACACTCTTGTGATTTACCTATTTGTTCTATCATGTGGTCTATATTTGTGAGTTTTATAAACCAACTTTATTTCTATAAAAACATTTATAGTGACCTATAACTATATTTATTATGATGTAATATAACTTGAATTTACGCTGAAATAGAAATTTTAAACTTTCAGTGAAAGTTAAGGCCAATAAGACCTTATACAAAAACTATAATATCAACACAAAAAATTCTATATTTTATCATCATAGTATGTTATATTGGTGATTCACACCAAAAGTAACACAAAAATCAATACAGTTTATTCTCACATTTTGGACACTGATAAGTACATTTGTTGTTTTCTATTCTAAGACAAAATTCCAAAGATGTGTTGATTTTAACCATATATTAAAAAGTACTGTGTTTTCATTGCTATTCTTCATCTCAGCACTTATCAGAAGGTTTTTAATTTTATCTCTAAAGTCGACACAACTTACAGCTGTATTTCATGTGTATGTTTTAAACAATTCACTTAGTATCTGGTTACTTTTTACAGTCTCTATATTTACCTTAATTCAACATTCATTGATTTGAAACTGGGATCATCAAACTTTGTTTCTATATTTCCTGAAAATAATAAATATGTAATTAAAGTATAAGGAAATTGAAAATAAAAGTTCAATCTATATAAGATTTTAGATTTACTTTCTGAAAATGCTCTGAATGAGGTGAAAACAAACATTACCCAATGTATTAATAAGTTTTAATACGCTATATATAAGTCTGCATGTTAGGTGCAAAAATATTTGCAAAATATTTTTTTCATTTGAGAAGAGATAAAACAAATTTTCCCGAAACCAGGATGACCCTTCAATGTAAACATAACATTTTTCAAAACAAAATTTACTAATTTACAAAAAATTCTTCTCACATTTTTGTCAAGCTAAATAAATAATATATTCCAGTGTGCTTTCTGTGTACACAATTAACGAAAGAAATAATGCCTTTTAATATAAATAGTAAGTCAGATTTTATTTTATAATACTAGTCATGAAGTCCTTGTGATTTAACACCACCACCTGATTGTTAATTAATGAATGTTCCTTGTGCTTTGTATTTTTATTAATTCAATTTTTAAGTCCCCTACCGACGAAGTCGTAGGGGACTTTAGGATTGCACTCTGTCCGTCTGTCTGTCTGTCCATCCGTCAGTCCCGCAAATCAGTTTTCCACTCTTTTTTTCTTCGTGCTTGAAGATATTGACTTGATATTTGGTGTATTCTTTTATCATGACAAGTTACAGATTAAGTTCGAGTTCCGGTCTGATGATTTTAGGCATAGTAATGGTCTTTTGACTTAGAAAATTCACTAAAATAATCATTTTTCCGCACTTTTTTTATCATTCTTGAAGATATTTTTTGATAATTGGTATATAGTTTTATCATGACAAGTTACAGATCAAGTTTGAATTTTGTTCTTGTCTGATGATTTTGTGCAGAGTTATGGTCCTTGGACTTAGAAAATTCACTAAAATAATCAGTTTTCCACACTTTTTTTGTCATTCTTGAAGATATTGATTTGATAATTGGTATATAGTTTTATCATGACAAGTTACAGTTCAAGTTTGAATTTTGTTCCGGTCTGATAATTTTGTGCAGAGTTATGGTCCTTGGACTTACAAAATTCACTTAAATAATCATTTTTCAACACTTTTTTTTCGTCATGCTTGAAGATATTGACTTGATATTTGTTATATAGTTTACACCATGACAAGTTATAGATCAAGTTAGAATTTTGTACCAATACAATGAATGTTTTACCGGTAGGGGACTATGTATTGCCATGCAATACTCACAGAATGCTTGTTCATTCATTGATTCGCCAATGTTATTTATTATTTCACATGTTCAAATTTATGATTTTAATCCTGTGTTTATTTTGTACCTTGCTCATGCTATCCTCAAAGTTTATCATTTCTTTTTCAATGTAAAGTATTTGTCATTTATATCTTTTTAAAATCTATTCCAACCTTTAATAGCGACACCATTTCTCTGAACAGATAACAGGGCCCCTCTCATTGTTTCAGGATCTTTTGTTGTTGCATTAATCTCTACTTCTTCAAAATCAATTGGAGCACCAGCATGCCTAGTGAAAATCATAAAATAAGAAAAACAGTAATTAAAGTTGAAGTTCCTTTTACACCATCACTGTTGATAACCATACATTCAATTTGGATTCATATAAAATGCCTTAGGATTACTTGAAAACATAATTTGTGGAATGATTCTGAACAAATTTCTTCAAATTTATCACTTTTTTATTTAAATTGATTTAAATTACATTTAAGTGCAGACAAATTGAAGGTGACAATTTTAATAATAACCTTATTTTGGAAATGTTATTAAAATCAAAGTTCCTCATGTTCATAGTGTTATAATTTTTTATTGAGTAGATATATTAATGTAATTATTTAGTGCAGACGATTAAATGAGATGAAAACCAGACCTGTTACAAATTTGTTTCTGATATTTGGATATAACCATGATATATATCATAACTTTAATAACAAAAGAATAAAGTGTGAAATCTGATTATACTGTAATTGCCTGTAATGAGATTTAAAAGATATTCAAATCTCCTAATATTAAAGTTACCTGAGGACTTCCTGTACATGAGACATCAGTTCTGGGTCTACTCCAATTATAAGTTACCTGAAGATTTCCTATATGTGAGACATTAGTTATTGGCCTACTCCAATTATATTTTACCTAAAGACTTCCTGTACGTAAGACATTAGTTCTGGGCCTACTCCATCCCCTGTTAAAAGTGTTACTGTATTCCTTCCACCATATCGTGATAAGTACTGAAAAGAAAAGTATATATACTTCACTTCAGAAACTACAGTAACTAGATTTCAGTTATTGAGTACTCTTAGATTGCATGGTACTTTATGTCTTTAGTCTTTATGTACTGGTAAGTTTTTTTGTGCTTCATTCCTGTCTTTTATCTTTATGTACCGGTAAGTTTTTTTTGTGCTTCATTCCTATCTGATGAGTCAACCATTTCCACCTAAATTTTACAGTTTGTTCTTATATTCATAATAGTGTGCTGTTACACCATTGTCCCAAGTAAGAAGGAAAGTTGAGCACTCACAAACATGTTTAACCCCACCACATTCTTTAAGTGTCTGTCGTGCTGTTACACCACTGTCCCAAGTAAGAAGGAAAGTGGAGCACTCACAAACATGTTTAACCCCACCACATTCTTTAAGTGTCTGTCGTGCTGTTACACCACTGCCCCAAGTAAGAAGGAAAGTTGAGCACTCACAAACATGTTTAACCCCACCACATTCTTTATGTGTCTGTTGTGCTGTTACACCACTGTCCCAAGTAAGAAGAAAAGTTGAGCACTCACAAACATGTTTAACCCCACCACATTCTTTAAGTGTCTGTCGTGCTGTTACACCACTGTCCCAAGTAAGAAGGAAAGTGGAGCACTCACAAACATGTTTAACCCAACCACATTCTTTAAGTGTCTGTCGTGCTGTTACACCACTGTCCCAAGTAAGAAGGAAAGTTGAGCACTCACAAACATGTTAAACCCCACCACATTCTTTAAGTGTCTGTCGTGCTGTTACACCACTGTCCCAAGTAAGAAGAAAATTTGAGCACTCACAAACATGTTTAACCCAACCACATTCTTTAAGTGTCTGTCGTGCTGTTACGCCACTGTCCCAAGTAGGAAGGAAAGTTCAGCACTCACAAACATGTTTAACCCCACCACATTCTTTAAGTGTCTGTCGTGCTGTTACACCACTGTCCCAAGTAAGAAGGAAAGTTGAGCACTCACAAACATGTTAAACCCCACCACATTCTTTAAGTGTCTGTCGTGCTGTTACACCACTGTCCCAAGTAAGAAGAAAATTTGAGCACTCACAAACATGTTTAACCCAACCACATTCTTTAAGTGTCTGTCGTGCTGTTACGCCACTGTCCCAAGTAGGAAGGAAAGTTCAGCACTCACAAACATGTTTAACCCCACCACATTCTTTAAGAGTCTGTCGTGCTGTTACACCACTGTCCCAAGTAAGAAGAAAATTTGAGCACTCACAAACATGTTTAACCCCACCACATTCTTTAAGTGTCTGTCATGCTGTTACACCACTGTCCCAAGTAAGAAGGAAAGTTCAGCATTCACAAACATGTTTAACCCCACCACATTCTTTAAGTGTCTGTCGTGCTGTTACACCACTGTCCCAAGTAAGAAGAAAATTTGAGCACTCACAAACATGTTTAACCCCACCACATTCTTTAAGTGTCTGTCGTGCTGTTACACCACTGTCCCAAGTAAGAAGAAAATTTGAGCACTCACAAACATGTTTAACCCCACCACATTCTTTAAGTGTCTGTCCACATGGTCCTAAGCCAGGAGTCTGTAATTCAATGGATGTCATTGGTTGCTGTCTGCCATATTTCTTTTTCTTTTAATATTGTATAGTCATAAATCAGGATTTAGCTTTCTTGTTTGAATTGATTCACATTTTGTCATATTGGGGCCATTTATAGCTGACTATATATATATATATTGTTGAAGGCTGTATGGTGACCTGTAGTTGATTACATCCACATCAATGAGACTCTGGTGGATAGTTGTCTCATTGGCAATCATACCACATTTTCCTAGTTTTATTATTAACCTTTCTTGGATCCCCATCTTAAGACAAAAGTAACACACATTACTATCATCAGTTTAATACAAGTGAAGTGGAAATCTACTTTGGAACAACTTCTGGCTAAATATAACTGAATATTCTATATTAACATTATTACACATACCTTTGGTTCTGTTTGCTTCTGTGAGTAGTTGACAACTTGTGTTCCAAAAATCTGAAGTTAGAGTAAATTATACTTAACATTTGTTAAAGGCTTTGTTTTTATTGCCAGTAAATATTCAAAAGCTGCCATTATTCTTCAATAATTTTCCCTTGAAGTAAAATTAAATTGCTCTTAGTGTTGATAATTGGTTAATCTGAATAATTATATTTTGATAATAATTGGTTTTTAATCCATTAATCATTGCATAATGTAGAAATTAAGTACAACTTTCCTTATGTCACGTATGCAATACCATGTGAAACTTGTGCATGTCCTATAAAGCATTGAAGTGGAATAAGCCATATATATAAGATGCATTAGGCCAGGATTTTTTAGTTTGATGGTTTATGGATTTTTTATGTGAAAAAGTTGTCGGTTGGTCGGGAAAAAAAAGAAAAATTAATCTTTACAAGACATAAATATTTATGAATAAAAATATATCTTTCAGCTTACTAACAATATTTGTGGTATGTTTTTTTGTGATCATATGATTTCTTAGTTCCAAATATTATTGCTCAGCTGTTTTAAACATACAGTGCATGCCATAGTCATATAAGTTTATAAAAAAGGGGATATGTCCAAAAAAACAGGAAAATAAAATGTTCAATTTACAAACGAAAAAAAAACAGCTAGACTCTGCTTTTTATCAGCTTTTCAAGAGACATGGTGAATAATACGCTTCAAGCACAAAAACACGTGAAATAAAAATTGCAAGAAAATTACACTTTACCATCCATGTCATAAAGAAGTAGACCCACCAGTCCACCAAACAGAGGAGGATATCAGTTTCATTCTTTGGCAGGCAATCGTTTATTGATATCAAAATGGAAGAACATTTTTTTCAATCTATGAAATAAGTAAATTAACAATTGTTTGTGGATATGTCTTTCTTTTAACTTGACGTCCTTCACATTTGGACGGGTCCATTTCATCTATGAGATGAAAAATCTTATGGAATTATGACAAAAAGGGAAAATGAACATATTGAAAACATATTTTAACTTAGGTTTTGTTCCGCAAAATTATTTGCGTAAACAACATGTCAAGATCAGTTTTGATAGTCTATTTTTAGAAACACAAATACTTTAGATTACTTTTAGATTTTTTTTTTTAGAACACAAAGCAAATCATTTCTGATAATGTTTTAACCTGCTTAAATAATGCATTCGATTTCAGAAAAATCCAGCTATACAGATATTTTTATTTATATTTCAAGGAAAATGTATTTCTTAGGGTCGGCAGGAGTAAAAAAATTCGTAAGGGTTCCGCGGAACCCAGTGTCTCGCCTACTTTTTTTGTTAATCGCAGGCTCAACAAAAATGAGGAAGTAAATCAATAAAAATATTCCTCTTGATACTATCTTTTGATTGTAAGAAGCTTCTGTCCAAGTTTGGTAAAAATCCAGATTAGTTAATGAATCTAATAAATGTTTAAAAACTTTATCTGCAGACTGAATGTAATGTTAACTGGAAGAAAACAAAATTTCCCTCTGGATACTAGCATTTGATCATAAACAAGCTTCTGTCCAAGTTTGGTACAAATCCAAAATAGTATAAGAAAGTTATTAAAATTTTAAAAACTTTAACCACAGAGTGAATGTGTTGTTTCCTGGCAGAAAATCTAAGTCCATTTAAAAGTAAAATACGGAAAAAATGGATTTATTTTTTTACAAAATTTCCTTCTAGATACTAGCTTTTGATCATTAACAAGCTTCTGTCCAAGTTTGGTACAAATCCAAAATAGTATAAGAAAGTTATTAAAATTTTAAAAACTTTAACCACAGAGTGAATGTGTTGTTTCCTGGCAGAAAATCTAAGTCCATTTAAAAGTAAAATAAGGAAAAAATGGATTTTTTTTTTACAAAATTTACTTCTGGATACTATCTTATGATCATAAACAAGCTTCTGTCAAAGTTTGGTAGAAACCCAGGATAGTTTAAGAAAGTTATTAAAATTTTAAAAACTTTAACCACAGAGTGAATGTAATATTTCCCGGCAGAAAAACTAAGTCCGTTTATAAGTAAAATACGGAAAAATTGGAATTTTATTTTTACAAAATTAACTTCTGGATACTATCTTATGATCATAAAAAAGCTTCTGTCCAAGTTTGGTAGAAATCCAGGATAGTTTAAGAAAGTTATTAAAATTTCAAAAACTTTAACCACAGAGTGAATATTTGTGGACGCCGCCGTTGACAACGACAACGATATGTAGGATTGCTATGTCTCGCTTTTTCGACTAAAGTCGAAGGCTCGACAAAAAGCATGAAACGTCAATTTTATTTTTTTTCTAAAAATAGGAAAAATTGGGTTGGTAGATCAATAAACCAACAAATTAAAAAATCTCTCTCCTTTATGCAGAGTACTGAACACTAAAAAGAATGTGTATGTACAAAATGGATTTTATGGTAGTTTTAAGCTTTTCTTACATTTTCAGGGAGGTGTCAAAAAGTTTCCATAAAAATTAAAAAAAAATGTTTTTGGTTATTACTTTTTAGGTGTAATGATTAATAATTTTATTTCGTTGAACATTTATGCATATTCATACATGTAACATGTGACCATTTGTATTCACTTAAAACCCATGCTGACATCTTTTTTACAAGTGACTCTTACTATAGCCTTAAGAAGAGACATGCTCTAAATTACCTCATGTAGAAATGATTAACATCACCATAAAAAGAATGTTGCAGTACTTAAAAATTAAACATTGTTTTTTGGGGTTTTTTTTATCATGTTTATCAAGAATATTGGAACAGAAGATTTGTCAAACACATTGACTATTTCTTTGCAATGATTTTTTCTATTTGACACTCAGCAATATTATACATGTACTATGAAAATAAAATTTCTAAAAAGAAACACAGTTTTACTTCAAAGGAAATTTATTGAAGAAATAATGTCAGTTATCTTTCTCCCAGTATAAGTATACATCAGAAAGTATGAAATATTTTTCAAAGTGATACTAACATAAAATAATAAAAAATCCCATTTATTTGCCATTGAACCAACACAAATTTGCAGACTGCACAGGCTTTAAATTGGCAGGAAAGATCAACTAACAGTAAACGTATATGTCATCACTGTATCACCAACTGATACCATTTAAGTTTATTTCAATATATACAGATGTACATGATCCTGGTGAAATTAAAATTAGCAATTGACCCCCCACAATTTCTTTTTACCCCCCCCCCCCCCTTTTTCCCCAAGAGGCAATCAAAACTTTGTATTATGATTACCTCCCTCACACTGCTATTAAATTGTCTTAATTGTTCATTAACCATTACTTTATACATAATTTGAAAGCAGTAAAAGGGAGGTAATTCAAATGATGTATTTGAATTACCTCCCTTACACTGCTTTAAATTATGTTTGGTACTAAAGTATTTGTCCATTAGCCAGGACACCCTTGTTTTTCCCCTTTTTTTGCCCCTAATTCCTAAACGGTTTGAGCCATAACCCCAAAAAGCAAATCCTAACCATCCCTTTGTGGTATAATTTCAGAGAGATCCATACACCGTTCCACAAGTTATTGTCTGGAAACTAGAAAAATGCTTATTTTTGGACCCTATTTGGCCCCTAATTCCTTAACTGTTGGTACCATAAACCCCAAAATCAATCCCAACCTTCCTTTTGTGGTATTGAACCCTATGGTAAAATTTCAAAGAGATGCATTTACTTAAACTAAAGTTATTGTGCGAAAACCAATGTGTCTTCGGACGACGACAACGACGCCAACGTCATACCAATATACGACCGGCGGTCATATAAAAAGGAGATCGTTCAAAACCATCAAACTACAGGCCAGTGTCATTAACATCAGTGGCATCAAAAGTACTAGAACACATTATAGTATCTCAAATTATGGACCATCTAGACAATCAAAATATCCTCAATGAAAATCAACATGGGTTTAGAGCAAAATGGTCATGCGAAAGCCAACTTCTGATGACCACCGACGACATCACCAAATGGATGAACAACAATATCCAAGTCGACATAGCAATCCTTGACTTTGCAGAAGCTTTCGACAAAGTTGGTCACAAAAGGCTATCAGAGAAGTTGCAATATTATGGCATTGGTGGAACAACCAGAACATGGATTGGTACATTCCTCAGCAACAGGATCCAAAAGGTAGTTGTAGATGGGGAATCTTCCAGGTGTTCCTTTGTAACATTAGGGGTTCCCCAGGGTACAGTACTTGGACCAACATTATTCCTTGTTTTCATCAATGACATCGCAGACAATCTCCATTCCACTGCAAGATTGTTTGCAGATGACTGTGTAATCTACAGACCAATTCACACAGAAAATGATCATCAACTATTGCAAGAAGATCTTGACACACTTCTTAACTGGTCTAGCACATGGCAAATGGAATTTAACGTTTCTAAATTCGCAATAATGCAGGCCACTAACAAAAGATCGAAGACAGATTTCACCTATAAAATGAAAGATGAAACTCTTGAAAAGGTTAGCCATCAGCCATATCTTGGAGTGGAACTATGCAACAACCTGAAGTATAATCTGCACATTGACCACACTTGCAAGAAAGCATCAAGAGTCCTAGGCTTCCTTAAGCCCAACCTCAAACACTGTCCACCTAGTGTAAAGGAAAGAGCATATACCAGCATTGTGAGACCAAAATTAGTATATTGCTCAACAATTTGGAATCCTCACACAAACAACAACATAAATAAATTAGAATCCGTACAAAAGAACACAGCAAGATTTGTCCTCAATAAACCAAACGATTACAAAAAACCAGACAGCACAACATAAATGGTTAAAAATCTAAATTTGGAAACATTAGACCAGAGGTGAAAAACATCTGACGTAATCCTCTTGTATAAGGTAGTCCCCCACCTTATTGTCGTGCCTATACAACATCACCCTACTATGGCAGAAATAAAATCAACTCGCCACAGTCATGCATGGAAACTTCAGACAATTTGGACAAATAACAATGTGTACAAATACTCATTCTTTCCACAAACAATCATACTATGGAACCAACTACCACCACCTGTGATAACCGTCCCAGAATTGGACACATTTAAGGTTGCAGTCAGGGGAGTATACTAAACTTCCACATTATTGTACAGTGTATATGTAACAGCCACTATGTTCTGTCAGTTACTTTGTTCCGGCGGAACTTTTCAACTAGTTATTTCGTTCCGATGGAACTTTCCAACTAGTTGTTTTATTCCGAGTGCAGTCGAAAAGTTCCAGAAAAAAGTAGCTAGTTGAAAAGTCCCGGGACAATGTAGCTAGTTGAATAGTTCTGGTGGAACAGAACAACTAGTTACATCGTTCCGAATATACCATATTTCGTCCTTTTTGTAGAAAGAGGGGGAAGAATGAGTATCAGTATATATATAAGAGCAAATCATTAATTTACAAGAATACCCAACGCACTGAAAGGGGTTTCTTTGGGGACAAATATGCAAAAATTTAAGTTGTATTTCATAGCTCACATAAAACGGAATAAGTTGCATTATCATGCAAATTTAGTATTCATAGTACCATCAAGAGAGGGAAGAATACCCCCTCCTCATGTGGTTCTTTGCATTAATTCTCCAAATGGAACTTTGTGACTGGTTGATAAATTCCGTTGGAACTTTTGGGCTAGTTTGTTAGTTCCGGTTTTGACTAATTTGGCAAAAAGGAACTTTCTAACTAGTTGATATGTTCCGTTGGAACTTTTCAACTAGTCACTTTGTTGCGGTGGAACTTTTAAACCAGAGGAAGAACAAAGTAACTAGTTAATAAGTTCCTCAGGAACTTTTCGGCTAGTTATTTCTTCCGCCCGGAACTTTCCAACATCGGAACAAAAGAGCATTTACATATATACGTTTATTCTTTTAAAAATTTTGAGGCTCTGCTATCAGGCTATGCGTGTGTGTAAATAGTCCTGAGTGAGATGTCTGCTTGCGGATGTTACTAAGTAACCTATAATTGAAGTTGAAGTTGAAGTACAATAGATTTTTTAAATATTTCTGATGAAATATCAATAAAATCTACATCTTTGGGACGAATATCTCTTTTCTTTAGAATATAACATTCCTTGTTGACAATAAGAAACGTTTAAAACAAATTATCAGTTTTACAGCAGACGACGTGGGAGTTTAAAATTTGCCTACTCCGTGAAGCTTGTTGTATCTATGTGACCTTAGAATGACAAATTCATTGATATTTACCGAACATTTAGTGGTATCTATTTTTGACAAATTTAACAGCCTTGGCAGGCTTTTTGCAAGTGTCCGCTGCATTACTATACTTCAGAAAAAAATCAGCCGGAAGTGAATAAATGACCTTCAACTTATCCGGAAGTCAGTGTAAATTGGGGCAGCGGATTTGATTGCAGAAATTGTTTTGTATAAGTTAGATCAATAACGTTAACTGCTTTAAAAGTGGAGGAAGAAGAATGAGCTGACCTTTTAAAGGTTTTTGGATAATGAAGCTTTGTGATAACTAATGCAACACACAAAAATTAATGCCATCACCAATTTGTTTTTTAATTTCCATATTTCTTGAAAATAGACGGAATGGAAATGAAATGTATCCGGATTCTTAATATATTAATGTACATATTTCGGTTTAACGATTGACACTACCAATATTAAATTCATATTATTCCCAAAGTCTTATGCAGTCTAATAAAGTTCCATTTGTGGCATATTCTAATACTGTGCAGGAGTTCTATAAGTTAGTTTAAGTCTATGACAATAAATATTGAATAACCCTTGTCGCTATTTGGGAATCTGCGACACTTGAACTAATGACGTCATATTACAAACAAGTTTTCTTTTAAGCTTCTGACATTTTTATTGTGACGTCAAAATGTTACTGGAACCTATGTGATATCTAGTAATGGTGGACAAATAGTGATAAGGTGTATCACAAGAGGCTTGAAGAGCTATAAGGTCCAAAAAAACAAAGGCAATTTCCAGGTTTTCTGATTAGATATAATAAAAACGTTATGTCTTCCTACAGATCTTTTTTTTTTGCCAGTGACAGTAACCTCGTTTAAGCTATATGTAATCCCTTTTTGCGATTTTGTGTCTGAAGCGATTTTCTGATTTCATTTCATATGAAAAAAACATGTTTCTTAGGAAATAAAACTGTCACAGTTAAATGCACAAAGGGAAATTTTTAAAAAAAATCTGTTTTTACAACATTTTCCCTGACAATTTCTGCTATGTTCAAGCAAATTAATGTGTATGTACAAACTGGAGATTTGTTTAATAACTTTAAAAGACTAATTTTAAGTGCAAACACCAAAGCACAACAGATGATGTATACTTCAACATCATGAACATTGTCATTTGACTTTAAATATTTTATCTTTTCATTCTTGTTAGTTTTGTCTCAACTCTATGTCAAAAGTCATAGACTCACAGTGATTAACCAAATAGTGCTGGAAATTTAAAGAATAGCAATTTGGAATTTTCCCATCAATTGTAACAAATAACTAAAATAGTAAAAATAGTTATTTCCCCTATGCTGACTAGTTATAATTGTGAAGGCTACATTTTGTAAGTTTTGCTCACAGTGCCTGTCATGCTTATTTTAGTTTGATTTTAAAATTGAATTTTAATGGATCACTATTTGTTAATTTATTATTACATAAGATAATTATTTGATAAAATTTCTGTTGTAAGATGGCAGTGAACAAGATGTTTATATCAGCTCTGAAAAGGAATGACATAGACAGAGCTATTTCACTAATGATAACTCCTGGATACAATGTGAACTCAACAGAATACAAAGACTGTACACCACTTATATTGTCTACTAAGCTAGGTAAGTAATTAAGGATACAATGTCAAATCAACAGAATACAAAGACTGTACACCACTTATATTGTCTACTAAGCTAGGTAAGTAATCCAGGGTACAATGTCAAATCAACAGAATACAAAGACTGTACACCACTTATATTGTCTACTAAGCCTGAAGTACTCCTGGATACAATGTGAACTCAACAGCATACAAAGACTGTACACCACTTATATTGTCTACTAAGCTAGGTAAGTAATTAAGGATACAATGTCAAATCAACAGCATACAAAGACTGTACACCCCTTATATTGTCTACTAAGCTAGGTAAGTAATCCAGGGTACAATGTCAAATCAACAGAATACAAAGACTGTACACCCCTTATATTGTCTACTAAGCCTGAAGTACTCCTGGATACAATGTGAACTCAACAGCATACAAAGACTGTACACCACTTATATTGTCTACTAAGCTAGGTAAGTAATCCAGGGTACAATGTCAACTCAACAGCATACAAAGACTGTACACCACTTATATTGTCTACTAAGCTAGGTAAGTAATTAAGGATACAATGTCAAATCAACAGAATACAAAGACTGTACACCACTTATATTGTCTACTAAGCTAGGTAAGTAATCCAGGGTACAATGTCAAATCAACAGCATACAAAGACTGTACACCACTTATATTGTCTACTAAGCTAGGTAAGTAATCCAGGGTACAATGTCAAATCAACAGCATACAAAGACTACACCACTTATATTGTCTACTAAGCTAGGTAAGTAATCCAGGATACAATGTCAAATCAACAGAATACAAAGACTGTACACTACTTATATTGTCTACTAAGCTAGGTAAGTAATTAAGGATACAATGTCAAATCAACAGCATACAATGACTGTACACCACTAATATTGTCTACTTAGTTTGGTAAGTTTTATTAAAGGTTTGTGCAGTTATACAATGTTGTACAGTGTACCTGATTTGTCTCTTCACTGTACTTATAAATCTTACTTACAGTCAGGGGTACTACTTATACAAGTGATTTCAGAATCACATCTTTGGCTTTGAAAAATTGAAAATTTTCACAAAATTAGACACAGACTTTTTAAAATCACTGAAACAAGTAATTTGAGAAGTAAAAATGTAATCACTTCAATAAGTGTTTGAAACATTTTCTTGATATTTTTCCCACAAGCTTAAATTTTTTATTGGTAAAAACACAATCCATTGAAAAAACAACTATATTCATGCAGAAATGATCTTTTGCTTGATGAGCCTGTCAGTTCATTTAAAATATGCATAAACTGGAATAAGTTGTAGATCAGGACATAACCTTGAAGTAGATCATTCTAACTCTAAAGAAAACCAATCAGGTTACTTAAAATTGTTGACCTTTGTCTGATTGTTAGAGTAGTTAATGAATATTTGATTACAGAAAAATTCCCAAGGGTACTTTTAAAAGCTTTAGAAATCACTTGTATAAGTAGTACCCCTGACTGTAAAGTTTAATTTATAACTATATTCAATTTTATATATAGGAACATCAAGGTACATGATCATATAAAGAACTTTGCCGTTGACCTTCTTTTCATGTTTATTGATCTTGGTTAAAGTTTACTTCCAAATTGATTGAATGAATTTATATGAAAGATTGTTATTGTTTTTGTTATACATGTATCAAAGTGTACAAAACAACACCAATATTAAAAAAAAAGAAACATTAAATGTAAGTATCTATAAATATTTCGGGAAACAGATATCCTTCATCAGTATGATTATGATGTAAAATGAATCATATATATATATAGACCAATTGGGAGAATTAGAATCTTAAAATTATTGCAAAGAAGACCATATGATATGTATAAAGAGCATAAATAAAAACAAAGATGATTATGATACAAACATCACCATAATAGAAAAGAAAGGATCATGACACAAAATAGATACAGGCATATGAAAAAAGCAAAATGTAAGAAACAGTGCTTCAATTGCTGTTCTTCATCTCAAAGTCACTGTATGGCCTTCATCATGGTCTGCGCAAAAATTGTTACTGTACCTGTTCGCAAATTCAAGACAGCCTCTAGCCCCTGTTTAAGTGAAATTCTTTGCTAGATATTGGTTTTGCTCATTATTGAAAGCCATACAGAAACCCGTAGTTTGTCACATCTTTGTCCTTTGGTTATGATGATAAACTGGTAATTATTTTTCCTGTTTTGTTCTATTTGTTTTTATTTGATACCATACCGCCTTTATTCATGTTTTGTATCTCATTGGTTATATTTGTAGGGTTAGTAAAAGTAGTACAGCAGTTGTTGTCTCTTGGAGCTGATACAAACTGGCAAGATAAGAATGGTAGATCTGCTCTCACTCATGCTTGTATATCAGGCAATACAGAGATAATCAGAGAACTCGTCAAAGCTGGCTGTAACTTGAATAGGGTAAATATGTTGTTGTTTATATATTAAATATAGTTTTTAATTCCAACCTCACATAGAATGAAGGACTAAACCAAAGACCAAGACAGGTTTTGTAAGACATCAAAAGGAAAGCTATTTAAAGTTTCCTAAAAAAAAATATCTATTCTGATTTTGCAAAAGTCAAGCTATTTATCTATATTGAAGAATGTCAACATGAAATAAAACATGGGCTAAATAGTTATATGAAGATTGTAATCTAGTTTGTAATTTGAAATTCTAATTTTAGCCAACAGCCTTTGGTGATAGGCCAATACATGAAGCTGTGGTGTATGGTAGACTAGAGGCTGTAGAGGAACTACTGAAGGCAGGAGTGGATATTAATTCTAAAAATAGTATCACAAGACAGACTGCGTTACAGTTAGCTGTGCTATCAGAACAAAAAGAAGTTGTTGATCTGTTGATTCAAAAAAATGTAGCCATAGACATGTAAGTGAGATAGAGTGCTTTCAAATTTCAATAACAAAACTTTTCTCTTCATTAATGAAATTTAAGCAAAAAGATAAGTCCATGAGAAAGCAACCCAACATCATAAAAAAATTAAAAAATACATAGATGTCTATACACAGTCTTTGGCAATAGGTTTTATTGTGTTGAGTGAAAACCTGTAGAATTTCTTCAAGGTTTTGACATTTTTGGGCAAAACCAAAAAAAAACAATTTTGAGTATGCTTTCATTAAAACTTGTGTATCCATGTTTTCTGTGTCATTGCAGTCCAACCTTTGAAGGTGAAACAGCTTTACACTATGCCGTTCAAATTAACGACTTCAGAATTGTTAAAAATTTAATAGCAGCTGGAGCGAGCATTCATAAAAAGAACTATATCGGAGAAACACCTTATCTTCTAGCTGTTCAGGAAGGGAAAATTGACCATGTGAAAACGTTGATTTTAGCTGGTTGCAAAATATATTCTTCCTCCTATATGTCACCACTTAGCTTGGCATGCACAAATTATAATCCTACAATGGTTAAATATCTTCTATCGGAGGGATACAATGCCAGTGAGGATAAATCATTTAGACAGCATATATACATCAAAATGGAGGAACGACATCCAGAATTGTTGGACTATGTATATAACAGGTGCAGTAATCCATGCTCTCTAAAGGAGCATTGTCGTATTTATATTAGACGGTTGTTAAATAATAATATGGATCATGTCGTCCCTGGATTAGCATTACCAAAGATGCTTCAAGAATGGATCCTGATGGATGTTATTTATTAGATTTCTGTTTTGAATAATTTATTTTTCTGATTAAAAGCTCACATAGCATTGGAAACATTTTGCTATAGTACTTGATGTATGGTATGGGTGTGAAGTCATCATTTACATAACATTGTGATCAGTGGTGGCTGTAAAATTGCAATATTTAAAAGACACAAATTAGTGCTTCAGTATACATTAAGGCAAAAAAAGATCAGTTCAAAAAATTGTTTTACAAATGTATTAGATCCTTTTTTGTTACTTCAATCATTTTCTGATAGATTTTCATGCTTCTGCTGTAAGCCAATGAGTCATTATGTGTTACCCTTCAATTTTTAATTTGTTTCCTCTCAATAAGGTTACCTATCAATGACTTAAATTAATTCAAACCAAATATATTTTAATTTGAAAAAGGTCCATTTACCATTTGCCAAATTCAGTTTGGTCAGAAGTTATGCCCCTTGAGTATCAGAAAGTTCCAAATTGACATATGAATGAATTTTATATTAGTGTTTAATTATGTCACAATGTTAAAAAATATTAATATTGTTATGAACAAGGTCCAGATAAATTGTTATAATGTCATTCTGTTTTCAATTCAGTTATATTTTGTATTTAAAAGTAAATAAGATCATATAAGTTGGTAAGCTTTAAACTTAATATGTAGTACTTAATTGGGTTGGATAAGCTGTAATAACTTCATTTTTATTTTCTGTTCAAAGTGAAATTCTGTATTAATGTCTCCTGAAGGGAGACCTAAGGTAGCAAAAAATAGTTAGGAGTGTATTTTCGCATTTTGGCCCTGGTGGATTTTACAAATATAAAAGTTATTGTGAAATAAAATTCATTTTTAGACAGCTGATGACTAATTTAGCCTTCAAAGTGGGTTTATAGGACCATCAAGATTATTGTTTACATGTTTCATGGGCTATTTTCTGTTTGACTGTCCGTATTTTCATAGCCAGACCGGCCATAAGTCCAGAAATTCAATTTTACAAAAAAATTAGACGAAAGACATATGATTTTTTTTTTATCTCTTGATAGATGTATGTAAACAGTTTCAGAAAAGGTATCACTCCAACGGATTGAAATTCTACTTTTGGCCAAACTTTGGGGAAATATGTGACATCTTTACCCCCCTTTTTGTAATATTGTATAGCTAATACATGCAGGTTGTTGCCATGGATACACCAAAAAGAAATTATCTTTAACCATTTCAACTAATGGATAATAAATCTATGGAAGATACTGATTACACACATATGCACATATATGACACAAACAGTAAGCTTAATTTGTACATGTTCTAAGAAAGCAAGAAAAAGGGGATGGTTAAATTTATGAGGGTAAATTTAATAATTTTTGTCGAGCCTGCGACTTTTGTCGCAGAAAGCTCGACATAGGGATAGTGATCTGGCGGCGGTGGCGTTAACTAACTTCTTAAAAGCTTAATATTTCAGAAGGTAGAAGACCTAGATGCTTCATACTTTGTATATAGATGCCTTATGATACGAAGTTTCCGTCTGTCATATGTCCATTGTCCTTGACCTCATTTTCATGGTTCAGTGACTACTTGAAAAAAAAGTTAAGATTTTTTGTAATGTTAATTTCTCTCTTATTATGAGTAATAGGATAACTATATTTGGTATGTGCGTACCTTGCAAGGTCCTCATGCCTGTCAGACAGTTTTCATCTGACCTTGACCTCATTTTCATGGTTCAGTTGTAATTGTTTAGTTTTTGTGTTTTGGTCTGTTTTTCTAATACTGTAGGTCAACTATATTTGGTGTATGGAAATATTTTACAATGTACATGTCAGTCTGGCAGGTTTTATTAGACCTTGACCTTATGTTCACGGTTCATTGCTCAATGTTAATTTTTTATGTTTTGGTCTGTTTTTCTAATACTGTATGCAGTAGGTCAACTATATTTTGTGTATTGAAATATTTTACGATGTACATGTCAGTCTGGCAGGTTTTATTTGACCTTGACCTCGTTTTCACAGTTCATTGCTCAATGTTAAGTTTTTGTGTTTTGGTCTTTTTTTCTAATACTGTATGCAATAGGTCAACTGTATTTGGTGTATGGAAATATTTAACGATGTACATGTCAGTCTGGCAGGTTTTTTTTTACCTTGACCTCATTTTCATGGTTCATTGCTTACGTTAAGTTTTTGTGTTTTGGTCTGTTTTTCTTAAACTTAAAGCAATAGGTCAACTATATTTGGTGTAGGGAATGATTGTAAGGCGTATATATGTGACAGGCAGGTATCATCTGACCTTGACCTCATTTTCATGGTTCATTGGTCAATGTTCAGTTTTCTCTGGTTAACTTTGTTTCTTAGATACTATAAGAAATAGGTCAACTATATTTGATGCATGGAATGATTTTAGGGTGTACAAGTCTGTCTGGCAGGGTTCATCTGACCTTGACTTCATTTTCATGGTTCATTGGTCAATATAGAATTAGACCATGGTTTGGTCTGTTTCTTTTATACTTTAAGCAATAGGTCATCTATATTCTGTGTATGGAATGATTGTATTAAAGGTGAATATGTATTTCTGGCTTGGTTTATCTGACCTTGACCTCATTTTCTTGAATCATAAATGTTAATGTGATACTTGTAGTAAAACTTTATATGAAAGGACCATCAACATAAAATCAATTGTCAGTATAGTAGGCGAGACATTTCAGCATGTGCACTCTTGTTTCCTAACTGTATATTGCTACCTAATGTTTTAGCAGTGTTTCTTCTCCTTCTTCTGGTTCTTGATTTATGTCGCCCCATTGACATTATGTATTTCTTCTAGTTCTAGCTCTTGTTCTCGTAATAACTTTTTTATCTTCTTACATTGACCTATCATTGATATATGTGATATGAAGCTATATTATCATAATTTGGCATGTTATGTTGCATATTATCAATAAAATTCATTTGACCTTCACCTTTGACCTCAGGGTCAAAACAATCCATTTTTGGGACATTTTCTTGTCCAGAACATATCTTTTTTATCCTTTTTTATAGAGCTATAGTATTTCGTACATGGGTGCACCACCTCAAGACAATTGGTTGCATTCCATACAAGATGAACCATGACCCTTATCTTTCAAGATCAAATTATTGATTTTGGAACATTTTCATCACTTCTCAAAACTGGAACATTTTCATCACTTCTCAAAACCATGTGTTAGTTTGTCTAGGGAGGTTCGTAATCCCCCAACCCCTTCATATAATAAATTGTTATATATCTTTTAGATAGTGTAGATCCCCACCTTGTTTTGTTGTGTAGAGTAGGCCCCTACTCCCTGTAACCTAAATTGTTAAATATATCACAAATTGTTCAGATCTCCACCTCTAGACCATATTTATTCAGAATTGCCATAACAAAAACTTTTTAAATGCAAAATAGTAAATATTCCCACCCAGATACCTATGGGTATTCTTATTTGCCATGACTATACCTTTTCAGTGCTAGAATGTGTTTGTTGGGTCATCTTTCTTAGGGTGATTTATATAGATGAAGGGGAGACATAAGTTTTAGTCCACTATGACAGTTTCACCTAGTTACAAGTGAATATGATCATGTAGTTTGGTTGGCTAAAAACTTTATATACCGTATGGTACTGGATACTTAGTTTGGTTGGCTAAAAACTGTATATACCGTATGGTACTGGATACTTAGTTTAAACAGGTGTTAGACAGGTGTTAGACATGTTATATTAGGTAATCTAGTCAATAAAATGTTTCTTTTTTTCACTTTTATTATAAGTGAATATAATCATGTAGTTAGGTGTCTTTAAAGTGACTACCGGTATATATTCATTACTTTGGTCTCATTAGTTAATATTTATTATAGATTCTTTTCTTTTTTGTTTTGTTGAAGTTACTTGTTGATTTTTTTGTTGAATGTTTTTGTTTTCATGGATATATTGCCTTCAAGTAGTAAGGTTATAAAGAATAGAAGAAAAAATTTGGAATAAAGTAATTGAAAAAGGATAAATTTGTTATATATTTTTTTTTTTAACTGTTCAGCCAATGCTTATAAAATTTTAATATGCTGTTACTGATGACAAAATGGCAGTCAAGTTTTATATTGATGATTTTAATTTTTGCCGTTCTGGAGTTATGGTCTATGATGGATTGGAAATATGTATAGAATGTTGCAGGTCAAAAAAGCCTAAAAGAGACTTTCAAAATACAGAAAACCTAGTTTGCTGTCAATTTGACAGCTAATTCCTTGTTGTTGGTTGTTGTTCCAGAGTAAAGGGACTTTTATTGTCAGATTTAAGTTAATTTTTTATCCAGCCATGCAAAAATGAGGTCAGAAAAATGTCAGACATGCTAAACAGTTGACTGGATCACAGCACCGACAATGCTTTGGTTTAACATATTGTATGCTTACCAGAGTATGCTTGGATGGATTTACTTGAAACTGTACTCAATTAAAATTAATGAAAGTAGACTTCTTAATGATTTTCATTTCAGAGTTATGGGACTTGAACAGTTAAATTTAAGGCATTTGTTCACCTCTTGTATGCTTAGATTAATGTTAATATAAACACATTTCTGTTGTTGGGATAGGTAAATGAAAGCTCTCTTACAATTTGGAATCCAAGGGCCAAGTGAGCTTTTCTCATCACTTTCTGAAAAAGATTTTAATAAAAGCTAAAGGACTATGATGCCGTACAATGCCGGATGCCAAGTGATGAGAAAAGCTCACTTGGCCCTTTGGGCCAGGTTAGAAAAAAAGCTGAAAAGGCTTCACTAAGCAGGTCAATGTTAAGCATAATAACCAACTAACAAAAATTGAAAAAGACACAATGTACCAATCTAAAACCTAAAAACAAGTTCAAAACTTTAATGCCGAAAATACAACTAATGAATAGAATAGACAATGTTTTTCCCAGCTTAAAACATCAATGATTTCATCTCCAAAGAATTTAGTGTCAAGACATCACAAGCTGAGAAAACACGACATTGTGAAATGGCAAATCATCACATGTCTAGTGAACAGCTGAAGGGTGTTATTAAATAGATTTATAATGCTTTTTGCTTTTTAATATATCCAAGGTGCCAACAAAGTGATCTGATCATACTCTCTCCTTTTCCTTTGTGAAACAGAAATGTAGACTTGATTAAGAAAACCTCATTAAAATTAAAATCAGTTCCTGTATTTTTCTAATAACAGTTTTTCTTGTCTAATTTTGAAGACTTGTATCTTTGTTAAATAAAAAGTGATGTCCAACTATTTTTATGCTCCCGCGACAAAATGTCGAGGGGCATATTAATTTACCCCTGTCTGTCAGACTGTCCGTTCATCTGTCAGTTCGTCAGGATACATTGTTTGTCCGGCTATCTCCTCCTAGTTTTGGAGGTACACATGTACAACTTTAATATTTTGTAGGATGTTCATAAACATAATGAAGGTGTGCATGGCCACAGGATTTTGATTTTTAACTGGATTTTCGAAGAAAAAAATCGGTTATTGATTTGGGGATGTACGGTGGGCGGAAGGCGGGCGGCTGCCAAACAGTGTCCTTTCATTTCAAATTTAGATATGTTGTTTCCTGTGACTAAATGAAGGTCAAGTTCAATTTTCACGATTTTAGCTTTTCTCGTTGTTCATTTATAGCCCTTTCCCAAGAATTTAATTTTTGATGAATTAATCCATTTCTGTACAAAGGGAAATAACTCATATTTTAATAGACAATGTATTAATGATAAATGACATTTTGGGGTCTTTTTTCTTTCCTTTGGTAAATTGTTTGAAGAATTTTGTGGTAGGTTTGTTTGTTATTCTGTATAAACTAATTTTCTGAATGCTATATATATATTTTTTTTTTTTAAGAAGTTAACTCCTTTAATTAGATAATAGTCTATTTTTATTATAGGATATATTTCATTACATTTAAAGTTGTTGACATTGATCATAGATAAGTTGCAGATCTGTATTAGTTTGTGACAAATGAAAGAAAAAATATTTGGAACTATTAATTATATTTGAATATAATTTGAAAATAGATATACATTGTCTTACATCATATCTAATTTTAGAGAACTATTAATCATATCTAATGTTAGAGTACTATGTTAAACCATATTTCTGTTCAAAGGGAAATAACTCAAACTTATTCCATGAACACATGATAACATCAAAATTTCTTTATAACTATTTTTTTTAAGTCATGTGTGTTATGAAG